AAAAGTTCTTGCAAATAGATCTGACAACATAATTAAGAAACGAGTTATTGAGAAACAGAATTTAAGAAAGAAAGAATTCTAGTTACCATTTTGCTTTCTGCAGTTTTTAATAAGTAATCTACCAGTGGAAAACTGTACACTGGTAACAGAAACGCAAAAACAAACTTCAACAGGTTAACAATCTTCACAATACTCACAAATGTTTCCACATATACTTCCAAAGGTAGCACGTGCGTGGAGTTTCTTATGTTGGCAACGTGAGCAGTAAAGTTGGCAGTATGTTCACACGTATGTCAATTGTTACGTTGTCATAGAAACAAAATAATCAATCGCATTGTTTCTACGTTTTCTTGAAAAACTTCTTACAGTTGTCATAAATATAATAATTAAGTCAATCAAATTTAGCGAGTTAAAAATATCTAAGACGAATCTCTTGCTAACAATGGAGCCCCCTACGCGAACTTATAAAAGGCGGACCACTGCTCGTTACCTACAAGACAAATTTAGGAGGATTACTCCGAAATTATCAATATCTGTATCTGTATCTCTATCCTGTCTGCTGTCTTGTCTCTCTCTCTCTCATTGGACAGTATAATATATATATATATATATATATATATATATACTGTCCAATGCTAAGAAAGAAGTTGCAAAATAAAAACGCGCAAAATGAAATGAATAAAAAAATTACTAATATCGAGAAAACATACTATCAAAGAATCTCGACTTCCAATATTCTTTGTCTCAGTCTAAGAGCATTGAAGTCATCAACAAAAAAATAGTGGGAATTCAGAGATAATATCAAGTGGATGCCTCCAAATTACTTGAATTTGAATATAGTGATTTATTACATGTTTAGGTATTTCTTGAGAAAGAGCGTTAGTTTTTTTTAATAACTGAAGCCCTCCAAGAGTTAAGTAACGGAATTATTACTGCTAGATTTGCATTCTCGCCGTTGCTTATCTATTCTAACGGTCAAAAGTATAATTAATTGAAATATAAGCATATGAAAGAGACATGAGTGCTAACGTCATTGATTTCGGATGGGACATGGGACCCTTTATTGATTCAATCGTGCACAATTGGTTGCTAAGCAATCCGCCTCCGTTACCCCGAAGTCTATTTATATTTTCCCCGGGGCTCCGGGCAACGCGTAATGAACCCATCGTACGCCTGAATGTTTGGTACCTTACAGTACAAATTTTAATGCTGATAAATAAAAAACTACGGTTAGTTTATAAACAAGCTTTTACAACCAAGTTTCGACTTTTAGAATTTTATAACAGAATCTAATACCTCACATATTTTAAGTAGCATTAAAAGTACCTAGTGATAACATGTGCATTCAAGGGAGATTGCCACTAAGGTTACTTCATCTGCACTGATCGCGAGTATTAACAACCACATACCAATAGGGGAATGTAAATGATGGACTACAGTCGTCGTTTTTCTTGCTTAGGTAAGGAGTTACTGTTTCATCGTTCGGGACTTACATTATTATAATCCTTCCTATCCATAAGTGATAGTTTTGTATTAAACTTCTAGGATATTTACAAAACCATTCGCAATCTTTGCCATATCTGATCTCTTAGTGAACTTACATCCAAGCCCATAAACACCTTGCTTATTGATACTAAACACAAAGGGTCAGCGACAATAATAATTATAGTTTTCGGTTTCAATTATATTTTTAATATTATTATAATTGTTACAATTATTGTAATAATATCAAGGGAAAATCCAGTTGGCTACACAGGTTGTCTACAATTGGCTACGAAGAAATGAGCATGTAATAATTTGTCATCTTTCAGGAAGGTCTTCTACGGATGTTGGCACAGACTCATCTGATAATTGTACAATCTTATTCGGTAACCATAACTGTCTGACCTTCACTACAACAGGTTTTTGTCTCGACGTGGCCTGTGACATCAAGAATCAATAATAACTAGCTTCTTATCAAATGCTGCCAACCACGCTCGTTGCTACCTTTATTCGTAATATATATTTTTCTTTTCAGTTACTATACCTTCTTTCGAAATGCAAGTGTCAATTGTAGAAGAGAAGAGGATCAAGAAAATTTGTACAGCTTGTAATGATTCATACTTTACATCTAGTTTTTACTATTTTTTGGTGATAAATAAATGAAATAACAAAAACCATCACGAGGACAGGGCTCTTCGTTTAGCCCATCTGCGCCTCAAGGACGTCTCTAAATTCCTACCCCTTGTGCGGGAAGAATCAACAGGTGGATCGAGTACTGCATGTGGCTCTCTGGCTTTGTGGGAGATCTGGCCTACGAGTTACCTACATTTTATCACACATGCAGAATTTTTTTTAGAATGATGTAATCAAAATTAACAGTTTTTAAGAATAAACAATTCATTTCAATCAAATACGCTTTTTTTTCTAATTTGAATGGGATAATTGCTTGAGCGACATTCATCAAAATATATAGATGATTTGAGCCATCAAGTAAATAAATGCTAAACTGTTTCTAAAATATTTAAAAAATATAATTAATTTTTTTAAATAAAATATTTTATATTTTTTAAATATAAAAATAATCATTAGCGTTATGACGCCACCCCTACAACACAGTCGTATAGTAATAGAATTCATGCGATTTCATA